AGTTCTATGCTTTAAGACATTATAGTGGTAAATAAGGGAACCACCAGCGGTTACAATAGTAGTGTGAATTTCTGTGTTGGCCGAATTTGAAAAGGTTTTAGATTGTTTCCTAATATATTTGCAGGCCTTACACTGGCCACACTGGAACGTGCCTGCAACTGGGGATTTCACCCAAGTATCGGTGACAGTAGGAGAGGAAAGATGGCTTGGTACCAAGATATCTTTAAGATTACGACCCCTTCTGGCCATCAAGTAGACATAGGGAGTCAGTACCTCTTTGAGATGTGGATCTTGGTACAACAATGGCCAGAACCTCTCTAGTGTCTTCTTAACTATATCCCAGCCCAAGTCAAAGGTTCCAATGCACCTAATAATGTTCTGATTTTTACTCTGCGTGAAACTGTTAGTCAAGAGGTCAGTTCTCTCAGTTAGAAGTGCCCTTTGATATGCTTTTTTGTGGCATTCTTATCACAGATTTACAAAATTCATTTCTAATTGGAATGTTCTGTTCAGCAAAGATAGGCACATGCAGCTATATATGCAGCAGGCAGTACAGCCTTCGGTCACAAGATCTTCAAAGTTTTGGTAAGTTGTTAAATCAATGTGTAAATTTTGATATGCCTCTAATTATGGCTTTGTTCTTCAAACTGTATACTAAAGGATTGAGCACAGGTACAAGAGTTACAAATAAAACAGACAGAACCTTGTCATATTTTTGTGAGTATTGCATGTACAAGGTTAGTGCTGATCCATAGTACAATATAACAATAACAAGATGGGAAGTGCAATTTGAGAATGATTTTAGTCTTCCCTCGGAAGAACGTATCTTAAGTATGGTAGAGATGATAAAATAATAGGAAGTTAAGATGCATAAAAGGGGAACACCACCAATGAATGCCCCATCTACTGTAATGAAAAACTTTAAGAATGAGTTGTCACTGCAGGAAACAATTAGCAAGGCTTTGAGGTCACAAAAGAAGTTATTGACATAGTTTAAACCACAGAACAATAACTCAGTTGTGAATGATGTAAGTATTAATGAATTCACAGCTCCCATTAACCAGGCTGTAAAGCCAAGCAATGCACACATTTGTTTGCTCATGATAAGAGAATAGTTGAGAGGGATGCAGATTGCTACAAACCTGTCAAAAGCCATGGAAGTTAAAAGAAAAGACTCTGTATCAGAAAAGAATAGAAAAAAATACAATTGACATATACAGGTACTATAAGAAACATTGTGGTCACCTGTCCATGAAATGTAAAGTAATTTGGGAATAGTGGAAGAAATGTAGAAAATGTCTAGAATAGACAGTACGCAAAGGAAAAAATACATGGATGTGTGAAGTTCTGTAATTATGGATACTAGTGTAATTATAAGAATATTTCCGGCAACAGCCAATATGTAAAACAATAAAACCACAGCAAATAGAGCATATGTCTCTTTTCTGGATAGTGAGAAGCTCATGATGTAGAACTCCATAATAGAAGTGGTGTTCTTCAAATGTTCATACATTTAATCAGTATGTTCCGCCTGGCCTTCTGTAACCTGATACAAGAAAACCACAGTGAATATAAGTAAACAATATATATTTTTTAATTACTATGTTTAATCTTTAATAACATAGTTGAATAAGTCTATTTATTAGAGGTTTGTATATGCATGCAAATGTACACTAATCTGCCACAACACCATCTCCCTTATAGCATGTAGATCCCCCAGTGCTGACAAATCAGCTCTAACCCATCAAGGCATGGACTCCAGAAGACCTCTGAACATGTCCTGTGATATTTGGCACCAAGACAGTAGCAGCAGGTTCTTTAAGTCTTGCAATTTGTGAGGTAGGACCTCCATGGATCGGATTTGTTGTTCCAACAAATCCCAGCTATGCGCAGTTGGGTTGAGATCTGGGGATTTTGGAGGCCAAGAAACACCTTGATCTCTTTGTAATGTTCCTCAAACCTTATGTTTGCAGTATGGCTGGGTGCATTATCCATCTGAAAGAGGTCACTGCCATCAGGAAACACCATTGCCATGAAGGGATGAACTTGGACTGTAACAATCTCTAGGTAGGTGGTATGTGTCAAAGTAACATGTATATTAATACCAGAACACAAGGTATCCCAGCAGAATATTGCCCAGAGTATAACACTGTTTTAGCCGGCCTGCATTTTTCCCATCCCTTCTACAGGTAAAAAATGCACAAGCACCTGACCATCCACCTAATCTAAAAGAAAATGTGATTCATCAAACCAGGCAACCTTTTTCCATTGCTCCATGGCCCAAGTCTTATGATTACCCATTGAAGGCACATTTAGTGGTGGACAGGGTAATCATGGGCAGGGCTGGTGCAAGGAGTTTTGGCAATGCGGGCAGAGATGCATTTTGCCAACACCCTCCAAAAATAATGCACAGATGTCCAAAAATACAGACATAGTCATACAGAGACATACAGACACCAACACAAAGAGTTATACAGACACAGGCATACCGAGACATATAGTTAAACAGAGACATACAGGCAGAAGAAGATATACAGACATAAAGAGACACATATAGATAGGCATACAGAGTCATACATACAGTCATATAGAGACATACATATGCAGACAGGGATATAGAGACATACATACACAGACACACAGGCACACACATGCATACAGTGATATGCATAGACAGTAATACCAGGGGCGTACCTAGAGCATTTGGCACCCGGGGCGGATCCTGTGCTTGGCACCCCCCCCAAAAAAAAAAAAACCTGTACAAAATTTTAAAGGTTCTCTCTTTTTTTTTTTTTTTTTTTTACAATTTGTAAACTTTGCAAAACCGCTGTCAGCCCCTCCTACAAAACCCTTGTCCTGTCCTGCCCCTCCTACAAAACCTCTGTCCTGTCCCTTCTACAAATCCTGTACTGCCTCGTCTACAAAACCCCCGCAACCTCCTTCCACAAATCCCCTGCTTATCCCCCCTTATAAAGACTCCTGTTCCAATACAAAACCCCCGCCCCCTTCTACAAAATCCCTGCAGCCCCACACACACATTTACAGGCAGACAGTCACACACTCCGTTACAGACAGTCACACACTCAGTTACAGGCAGACAGTCACATACAGTCACAGGCAGACAGTCACACATACACATTTCCTCCGTGCGGCCAGTTTATCAGCTGTTTGCTTGAGTGAGCTGTACTGGCCGCACGGCACCCTAACTTCCATGGGACACTGTGCGGCCACAGCTCACACAGCCCCTCCAGCCAGGGCCGGTACAAGGATTTTTGCCGCCCAAGGCAAAAGTAAAGTTTGCCGCCCCCCATGTGACATCACAATGCCCCAGCCATATGATTTACCATGTTAACTAACGCCAGTGCTGCAGTGCCGCCGTGTTTACATTAAAAGGCCTGCAGGGACAGGCTATAGACACCAGAACCACTACATTAAGCTGAAGTGGTTCTGGGGACTATAGTGTTTCTTTAATGTAAGGTAAATTAGAGCTTAGTGCCACGAATAATATACTAGATTGCCTACTTACAACCAGATGAGGATGATGATGGGCTCTAGCTGCAGTCTGGCTCCACTGGTCTGGTGCAGAACAGGCTCTCTGGAGGCGGTTTGTAACTGTGGTCACAAAAATCAATGTTCTGGGAGAGCGGGAAGCAGCTCCATTTTTTGGGGGTCCTTTACACAGCTCAAGGTCTGGGTCCCAGGGTCCACCTTCATGTTCCACCAATGAGTTTGTTCACAGGGGGTGGAGTGTGCAGGGGATGTCCTGATATGTGTGTAAGGAATGCATTGTGTGAAATTGTGTTTGTATGTGTAAGGGCTGCAAGGTGTGTTTCTGTGTATGTATGGGATGCATTGAATGTGTGTAAGGGGTGCATTGAGTGTGTGTAATGAATGCATTGTGTGTTTCTGTGTGTGTAAGGGATGCATTGTGTGTAGCGGTTGCATTGCTTGTGTATGTGTGTCTGTGTGTTTTTCTGTGTGCAAGGGGTGCATTGTGTGTATGTGATGAATGTCAATCTCTCCTCCCGCTCCAATTTCCTTCTCCTCCTCCCAATTTCTCTCTCACCCCCCCTCCTAATTTCTCTTTCCCCCCTCCTAATATCTCTTCCCCCCCTCCTAATTTCAATTTCTCTCCCCCCCTCCTAATTTCTATTTCCCCCCTCCTAATATCTCTCCCTCCCTCCTAATTTCTCTTCCCCCCTCCTAATTTCTCTCTCGCCCCCCCTCTCCTTTCTCACCCCCCCTCTCCTTTCTCACCCCCCCTCTCCTTTCTCTTCCCCCTCCTTTCTCTTTCTGACCTCCTTTCTCTTTCACACCTCCTTTCTCTTTCACACCTCCTTTCTCTTTCACACCTCCTTTCTCACCCCCCCCTTTCTCCTCTTTCTCACCCTCCCTCCTTTCTCACCCCCCCTTTCTCCTCTCTCACCCCCTCTCTCACCCCCCCTTCTCCTTTTTCACCCCCCT